GTTAACCACTACATAAAAGATGTTCAAATGCCTAAAACTACCTATATTAAAGGTCTAATCCTAGTTGCATTTAAAGTTAAAATAGTTTGAATGAATAACAATATCTACTTTCACAATGGATGGCAACAGTTTCTAACTACACACAATGTTGAATTAGGGGATTTTTTTATGTTCAAGATTAACCATGATGCTACATTTAATGTCTATTTTTATGATATGAGTGCTACTTTGATAACAATTAATGATGTATAAATAAGAAAAGGTAACATTTTATTTCTCTATATAAAATATATCTAAAATAAGAAATAAAATACACATTGCTTTTTCTTGTAGATAAAAAACGACACAACCACAACAACAACCTCTCAAAGTTATTAAAATTAAAGATTCAAACTTATATTCAAATTCAGACAATAATTTGCCACTTTTTCAATGCACAATGAGTGAAACCAACATCCGAACATATTACATTTTGGTAAAAAAATCTCTTCTAATACTTTAATTACAAATTATTACGTTATTTATCTATTTTTCTTTCATGTTATGTTCATAAACTTTTTTGCATATACAAAATGATAGTTTTATGAAAATTTGTTTTATCATTGTAATATTTTACTTATTCTAGGAGTAGCATTAACTTGTAGAAATTAAGTTTTATCACTACAAATAACTTCTATTTGACATAATGATCTTATCACAATAGTTTTACCATTATAGTAATATTTAAACCTTTAATGATCTACAATGTATATTTTCTTTTTTACCTTGTCATTTTTTATCATTTGTTTTAATTTGAATTTGTAATTGAACAATATTTATTATACTTCTAATGAATAACATTTTTACTCTTTATATAGGATGTTCCTATAATGTTTGCTAAACATTTTCTTCCACCTTATCCAATGAACTTAATCCTTTCAATTCCAAAAGAAGAAGCAGGAACAACTACTCAAAACATTGGTGGCAGCATCAATCAACAGCAAACAGAATGGTTTGTTAACTATATTCACACCAAAAAAATAAAAGTTTCTTAGGTAGCTAGTGCTATTTTGTAATTGACAATGATCTTAATCTTGAAGATCAATGCATATTTCAAAGGATTAAAGCAAACAAGTTTGATGTTTTTATCTACCGCACTAGTTGATTAAGAAACCATGTTAGTGTAAATGATGTCATTTTGTTAAATAACAAACTTACTTCTCTAATGTTATCATTTTGTTAAACAGTTGTTGATGTTATCATTTTGTTTAACAACTGTTGATGTTCTTATTTTGTTAAATAGCTGTTAATATTTTGTTTTTGTTAACAAAACCTCTAACTCTTTGTTCTATATGCAAAACATCTTCTTTTTGTAAATAAGAAGTAGCTGTAAAGAACATCCTTTATAAATAGTGAAGAGAAGTTTGAAATATATTAGTAAGAATCAAACATCTATTTTCCTATATTTATCATTTTAAAATTTACATCCATACAAAATCATTCTATACCCATTTAAGGTTACAATCATAATATCACCAAAAGCTAAATTCATTGGCTTATATATTGCAATGCAAAACCTTGAACTTGATCTCATACAAACATTTTTTTCATCAAATTTCCTACCACCTCTTTTTTTTTTCTTCCTCTATTCTTTATTCGAGCTAAGGTTTGATTATGGGATTTTTTTTTTTTTTGTTATTTGATTCATTAGCAGCTACTGATATTATAATTGCAACTTCTTTTACCATAAATATATTCACTTTATAATAAATTAATAAAATTTTAGTTTTTTAAAAAATTAAGTTTTAATAATTTACAAAATAAAATATTTTATTACTACAAAAAAATAATATAAAAGCTTAAAAATAATCTCCAAATTATTATAACAACTCTTTCTAAAAAAATTATATTTTTTTCAAAAATTATATAAAATATCCAATAACAATTATTCTAAAAAAGAAAAAAATAGAATAACACATTTTTGTTTAACAATATACATATTAATAAAAAAACAACACACTATAAATTATTATAGGAACTTTTTCTATGAAAAAAATTTATAAAAATATTACAATTTCAATACAAAAAATATAAAACTACCTATTCCACAAATATAGTGCATATGCCGAGCCCCTTCAATAATCTCAAACCATAAACCATCTTATATAAAACAAAACCCAATAACAAAATTTATATTAACCCATAAAAACACTCTACACACCACAAACCCTTCCAAATTCCCCTATCATAATAAATCCTTCACAAAAAAAAAAGGCAGTTTAGACTTCTTCTCACAGTCAAAACACTAGAAACCTTCAACAACCACCATAATTTCTCAAGTGTTTGACTCATCAAGATACCATTCAAAACTTCACGATATAAATATTTCTAATATAATCTTCTTTCTTTAAATTATAAACAATTAATTCTTTTTTATTCCCCCTTTATATTTTATTTAGAGTTCCAAATTATGTTAACACATATCTATAACTATCATTTATCTTTACTCAAAACTATATCTTGAAATCTATGGAGATTAAAGAAACATAAAAAAGATGCTACCATTAGAACATAGCCTAGATTAAAAGTAGAGTTAAAATGAATATTCGAATACAAAAAATAGAAAATCAAAAAAAAAATTTGACCACTTTTCCTTTTCTTTTAATTAAAAACAAAAAAAAAGTAAATAAAATCAACCTTCTATTCTCAGCCATATTGCTCAAAGAAAGACAAAGATACTATTTGGTGATTATGATAGTTATATAGATAAGGTATCATAGTACATTAACTTTGATTTTGTAATTATATTATTATTTTAACTACTTTTATCATCTACTACATACTAAAAATATCATAGAAATGATGGAGCCATATTGCTTTTAAATACATTGTTAAGCCTTTTAGGTATATAGTAGCCTTTATCTATTATTTAAGTTAATATCATTATCAATAATAAGCTTGAAATGATTACTTCAACTCAAATATTAGCTATTAATACTATCTACTTTTATATGGGATTCAAGTTGTGAAAAATTTCAAGGATGTTCACTTAGTTGTCGAGTATACATCATGTAATTAAAGAGAATAAATGCAAAGATCTTGGCTTTCAATCAAATGTTTCATAGTAAACAAAAGGAAATTTCACTACTCTAAATGTTTCATTGCATTATAAACATCACGTGCATGAACTCTTTGTTTCGTTCATACTTTTGTTTCTTAACTACTTTTACATTGCTTTGTTTATTTTACTTATAATTGAAGAATTTTTCATGTTTGTATTAGTTTTTCATTATTGTATCAACATTGTATATAATTATAGGAATTTCCAAATAACTTCACTTAACAATAGATATCAACAATTCAAACTTCAACAACTCTGCACATAAAAGGTTTTCTGCCAAATACATTCAAGATGCAATTGACAAAGGCAAATTATACTTTCAAAATGAATGGCACGAATTTGTTAATGCATATCGATTTGCATATCAATATATTTTAACTTTTACATGCAACAATCCAAACACTTTTCAAGCATTCCTGCATCCTCAATCATCCAGTACTATAATAACAAATGCCCTGCAACAAAAATAAGGTAAAATCTTCATTTCGCCTATATTATATTTCATTTCAAATTGTTTAAATTATGCTTACTATATTTTGTATTTCAAGTTAAAACAATCAATTTGACTATGCAGACCATCAAAATGATGACTACTGTGATAGTCATACTCTTCATTGCTTAATGACCAATGCAAATGTCAATAGTCATCCCATCTCAGTAAACAATTATACATATATTAATACCATATCATATAGCACAACATACATTTAAAATTTCTATTAATAATATCTCATTACATTGTTTTTACAGTATATTTCAAGCTATTTCTATAAGCATCTACTAGACAGACATTTTTCTATCACTTTATTAAATCTAAAAGAAGATAAATCATAGACCATTTAATATAATGCCAAAAACAAATCATTCTCAAGATGATGAAACAAATCATTCTCAAGATGATGAAAAAAATTTATTATCAATAATCACTTGATGATTGACGATTACTATTTATTTGCTATGATTACACATAACACTTTTAAAAGAGTTGTTTATCCTAATTATGAATAAACTTATCAATAATTAATTATATATACAAACTAAATATTTAATTATAATTTCTATTTCACAATTACTCTTTTTAGGAATTTTATAATTTTAAAATACGTACCTAACATTTTTATTTTGTTTTATATTAATTTTATATTACCAATTATTTTAATAAATCTTTTTACATTTAACACTGTTAACTTTATGTTAAATTATTTTAAATTTTAATTCAATCAAATATTAATAAAATAAAAGATTAATAATTAATTTAATACATCAGACAAAATTGGATTCAATATTAGTTTTTATTATTAATTATAATGTCGTAGTAAAAAATTTTTGGATGAAATACATGTAAATTAAAATCAGGCAACAAATGTCAGTCTAAAATTTTCACTAGCGCATCTCGTTGTTTCTAATCAACTTCTTCCTCTTAATTGGAATGATTTAACTCAAAGGAAAATATATACTTACATATATGAACCCAATAATTGACTATGACGCCAAGAAATTGATCACAAAAATCCAGTCCATATTTTCTTGAAATTTTGAAATTTGCTATTTAATCATAACGTCAGTTGGACCAAATCAGTGAATAATGAAGCGAAAATTAGCTTCTCGTTTTTTTTTTTTTTTTCCTGCACCTTCTTGTTAAAATGTATGTCAAACAAATAGCTAGTATTTTGCCAAACAAAACAGCTGTTATGTTGCATTCAAGTCTATTTCTTCCGCTTTCTCTGTTTTTTTTTTTGGTTTTTTATTTTTACTTCCCATGTCAATAATTACCACAAATTTTTTCAACCCTAAATATCTTCCATTTTTAAAAAAAAACTAGAAGGAATATGTCCATGGCTACTATTCGAAACGGCACCAAAACGTTTCCATTGTTCCATTTCTTTTTTCTTTTTTTTTTCTAAAATGTGGAAAGCGATTCAGGCCGCCACATCAGCTCCGAAATATCCACCGCCGGTTCAAACAAGCCTCCTAACGCCACAAAATCACCGCTATTACTATGATTATTATTGCTGGCATCCGAGTCACCCCCGATTCCGAACTCCAACGATTCGTAACTCGGAATCGGAAACTCATACCCCATCGTTTCCCCAAATCCAACAGCTCCTAACCCTCCACCTTCCTCAACATCAACTGTCCCAACTTTCTGCTCCTCCTCTACAGACGAAAAACTCGGCGGCAAACCCAGCTCATCATCTGAAGCCTCTAAAAGAAAGCCTAGCTCCGGCCGGAAATCGCCGGAATCCGATGACATCACCGGTAGCGTCGCCTTAGTCGGAACTAGGATCTCTTCTTCGAAGCTTTTGATGACCGAGTCAAGTCCCTTAATCGCTGGGTCAGGTCCAATGACCGGGTCAGAATCGTCCAGGATGTTCAGCAAATCCTCCTGGATACGCTTTGCCTCCGGCGACCGAAAGTACCCGTCATAGGAGTCGGGTTCGAAGTGAGTAAACTCGGGCGAGTTGGAGCTAGTATTTGCCAAGTCCACTCGAGCGAGTTTTAAATAAGGAACCGAGTTAACCTCTAACTCAGAATCCTCTGACTCATCCCGGGCTCTCTTATTGTTGCCTTTGTTGTCCTCCATTGCCATTGGAAAATGTCTTCAGTTTATAATTAAAAAACCTCGGAAATTACAAAAACAACGTGAGTGTTAAATGCATCAAGTTGGAGGATAAGTAGAATGAGATAGACGGAAAGAGGGGGGGTTTTATAAGGGGCAAAAGGGTATAAAATTTTAGCGTTAAGGAGTGTTTGGCTAGCGAGAAAAAAGAACAAGAGAGAAAAATACAAAAATAAATCAAAGGAAGTAGAGATTTTTAGAAAAAAAAAGTTGGAGTGTAGAGAGAGAAAATACACGGCTTTGAGAGAATGGGAAAGAGAAATGGAGTATATATAGCAGTTGCAGACATGGGGCAAATTTGATTTTACTCTTTTTTTTTACCCTTTTTTAAATAAAAATAATATTCAAAATTTTAAATTAAGTGATTATTAGTATTATTTTTTTAATTTGGACAAAGACAGGCGCGTGTAGAGCGGAAGCAAAAAAGGCTACGTTCCTTTTGATGAGTCATTCACGGGACTCACCGCCTTTATTTTTCTGTCTCTTGTTCTTCTTCGCAGTACTGGTTGTTTATTTATTTTTCGTTGTGTTTCTTTTCTGTCAAAATCACTAAATTTAAATTTAGGACTTTGAAGTCCGTTGCGGGTGGCCCACCAAATTAGGTGGGGTGGGAAGAATCCAGTGGTGGCCTTTGCTTGTTTTTGCATCTACCCTTTCCTTTTCTTTTTCTTTTATTTGCTTTTGCTGCCATTATTCTTGGCAGTTGACATGTTCTTTCTTTTCTACTTTCCTTGTCTGGAGTTTTTTTTTTTTTTTTATTTCTTTTAAGATTTTCAAAATTTCACAAGCAGCGATGCATGTATGTGTGACATGGATTCCTTTAAAAATTTAAAAAAAAAGTTTTGAAAGTTTATTTTTTAAACATTCTAAAAATTTTCATGATATTTTCAAAATTTTTGCTTAAAAATCATCAAATCATTAAATTTTTTAATGAAATATTAATAATAATTTAATTATATTTTTCAATATTTAAAAATTTATAATAAATAATTATAATAATATAATAATATTTTATATATTACAAATAAACAACTAAAAAAATCTTGCATCCATCACAAATCATGTCTCCAATCAAATCTAGCAATACTATTATTACAAATGCGAGGTTCTTATAAAGCGATATTTAGTTTGCATATCCTTATATTTCAAGAGAAGAAATGATTTTAAAGTAAAATGACATTGAAAAAAATATATATGATTTTTAAATTTTATTCACTTAAGAAATATAAAATTTTTATATTTGGTTTAGAAAAATATAAAATTATTTAATAAAATTTTTTATTATATTATTTTTGATGACACATAAAAAACATTTTAAGCTCATAATATATTATAAACAGTAATATTTATATTACCTATTTATTTATTTATCATGTTAAATTATTTATTTATTTATTTACTTATTTAACATGTAAATAATTTATTTAATATTTGTAAAATTAATAAATAATTACAAATTATAAAAAATACCTGTTAATTTTTTTGATATGTTGTTTTTTTATTGTAAAAGACTACATTTTCTAGAAAAAAAATGTAATCTTTAGTTTAAAGACTACATTTTTATTCTCAAAATCATAATCTTTGTTAGGAATGTTAACCTTACCCATATCCAATGAGGAATCTGATTTTTTATCTAAATATAAATAGTTATGGATATTATATAATGAATATAAGGATGTTATATAATTTTAAATTTTTATTGGATATAAGAATAGGATATATATATATATTTATTTATTTATTTTTATATTTATATATATTTAATAAATAGATTTTTTATTAAATAATATAAATTATTATTTTAAATTAATTAAATTAATATATTTTATCGAAAAATATATATATATTTATAAAAAAATTACTTAATTATGCAAGATAAAAATTTAAAAAAAAAAGTTAAAAATAAATTTTAGTTTCTATTTTTTTTTTTAAAGTTAAAGGTATGGGGATTACCCATACCCATTAAATATTTGTAATAATGGGGATAGAGATAAATTTTAAATATTCTTGGATTAGATACAAGAATGAGTATAATATAAAAATATGAGGATAAAGATGAAGAATGCTTTACCATATCTATTGACATTTAAAACTCAAGAACTAAAAAAAATTAATATTTATAATATATTTTCAATAAAAATTACATTTTTAATTTTTAAAACATAATAATTGTTGAAACTCAAGAAGTAATAAATATAAAAATTTTTTATTTAACATGTTAAATTATTTGTTTATTTACTTATTTAAAGTGAAATTATTTATTTAATTTTTATAAAATTAATAAATAATTAAAAATTACTAAAAAATACTTTTTGATTTTTTTGCCTTGTTTAGTTTTTTTTTTTTTAATGTAAAAGACAACATTTTTCTAATAAAGACATTTTTTTTTAAGAAAAGCGTAGTTTTTTTTTTTTTTTTTTTTCGTTTAAAGACTACACTTTTATATTAAAAACATAGTATTTGTTCAAACACAAGAGCTAAAAAAAGTAAATAAATTTTTATAATATGTTTTCAACAAAGATAAAGTATTTAATCTTGAAAACATAATTTTTTTAAAAAACTAAAATGTAATAAAAATAAATTTTTTATTTATTTGACATGTTAAATTATTTAGTTATTTATTTAGTTAACATGTAAAAGATTTACTTAATATTTATAAAATTCAAAAAAACTTTTTGGTTTCTTTGCCTTATTGAGTTTTCTTGAAAAAAAACATAGTCTTTTCATCGTTTAAATATTGTGTTTTTATGAAAAAAAAAAAAAAAAAAAAAACGTAGTTTTTATTGAAACTCAAGAGTTAAAAGAAAACATATATTTTTTATAATATATTTTCAACAAAAACTCCTTGTTAATCTTAAAAATGTACTCTTTGTTAATACTCAAAATGTAAAAAATAATTTTTTTATTTATTTAACATGTTAAATTATTTATTTATTTACTTATTTAATGTGTCAAAGATTTATTTAATATTTATGAAATTAATAAACCCAAAAAGTAATAAAAATAAAATTTTTATAATATATTTTCAACAAATACTATATTTCAAATTTAAAAAATATAGTTTCTAGTGAAACTATAGAATTTTGAAAAATAATTTTTTGTCAAAATTCTATATTTTCAAGAGAGACTACGTTTTTATCTAAAAAAAAGGTAATATTTTTTTAATATATAACATTTTGAAAAATAATTTTTTAATTAATTAAAAATAAAAATGTAATTATCATCCACAAATTTATTTAATATATTTTTATTTCAAATAATTTAATATTATTTAAAATATATATATGTTAACAATTATTGTATTTTTATTAAATAAATTCAAATTAATTATTCAAACTAAATATAAATTTAATCCGAATGAATAAAAATTCAATTCAAATAAAATTTGAATTAATTTTATATTTTCTAAAAAATAAAATTTAAACATCATCATTGTTAGCTGTTAAAGGATGAGATTTGAAACGCTTTATGCCTATTTGTTTGGATCTTAATTTATCATGTAATTTTTTGTATGTTGAAAGTAAAATAGATCATAAAAACCATTTATTCAGGGCAAAAGTGAGATAAGTTTTATATTTTGTCAAGAATTTTAAAAGACCCCAAGAAAATAATGGTTTATGTTTATGGCTGAAAACTTAAAAAAACCTCATGAAATCATCTTACTGGAACCAAACCAGGAATCACGTTACAAAAAAATTCATGGGAGAAATCTTATTGTCCTCTAACCAAATGTGGCTGCCTTTTTTTATCTAATTTTTACCTTTTTTTTTTGTTTGGGTAGAGAAAATAATTAGTTTGACATTAAGCAAATTTCAAAGTCCCATTTTGATATACAACTAGATTTGAAAGTAGCATTCTTTCTTCTTAAATATCCGTTACATTATTTTTGTAAGATTTGAACGTAAACTCTCTCACTAAATTTACAAATCTAACTATTTAAACATTTGATTGAGAGTTGTTGTACCTATTTACTCAGTTAACAAGGTCAACTCTTACAATTGTTAAAACAACACATGCCTAATTGCCATGTCATTATACATGAGGATTGATATCCAGATCCCTTGCTATAAAGTGAGCTTGCCGTCACCAAGGAGAGACTCGTCCAACTACATTCATTAATGTTTCATTAAGGCATCACTTTAAAACAAAATCGATTACTCTTCAATTTATTTAGGATATTTAAATACAACTCACAATCATCCACATGACTCTTTTTCGAGTTTCATGTAAATTTATTATCAATTATTAATTGTATTGATTAAGTCATTGTCCTTCCGCTCATATATAAGATAAAAAAGAAACCAAATATAGTATGAACTAAAAATCCTTTCTTTTAAAACTCTCTAAGTATTTACTGTATATCTTTTTCCTTACAAAACCTTTAGACACTTGATTGATCTAAGCATCGAAACACCTCTTCAAGAATTAAACTCTGACACCTCTTGACTGTATTTTCCTGCTGCAAATTCCAACTGTCTATTATGTAGCCACCAAGCTACTTCCCTCTAACCAACACCTAAAGACATCGTCAACAAAAGTGTATCTTTTTTATGAAAATTTAAAATAATTTTTAATATTTTCAAATTGATAGTAATAACATTTTTCTTATTGGCCAAAAAAAATTATACTATCACTTTGTTTTCTTATCCTAAATTTTGATATATTCAACATATGAGATCTTACGTCAATGGAAAGAATATTAGAACATGAATTTAAAGATCTCTACTAAAATTTCGGGTTACTTTTATATTTTAAGCTAGTTCAATTGGAAAAATAATGGAATTTATTTAAATAATTTAGAAATTTTCTTTTGTAAAAAAGTATATCAATTCAAATTACAAGTTTTCATAAGTTGGACCATATTTGTATTGTGCCTAAATATGGTATCAACACCTTACATGCTTGCTCAAGTTCAAGTTGACTTGATAATTCAAATCTAAAATCTTGTTTTGATTGTCTAGATTAATAAA